TTAATCATTCCCCGCTTTCCTCCTCTGCCTCTTTTTCTCTCTTTAACGCTTAACAGTTTGTCTATGACAGTAGTTCTCAAACTTTTGTCTCACATGGAAGGCTTGTTAAATCAGATTTTGTTGGTCTCCACCTCCCGAACATCTGATTCAGGAAGTCTGGGGTGAGGTCTGAGAAAAATGTCTAAAGTGTTCCCTGGTGATGCCAATGATATTATTTTGAGCACCATTGTTTGTGAATCATGTTTATAAAAATCACCTGTCACTATGCTAGCATCCTTTATGGTTGTTTAGTACCATTTGAATGCATTTTTTAAAGAACACACTTTTATTTATTTAGTTTCCTAATTAGTAATTAAATCTAAGCCTAAACTAACATTTCATCTCAATGCTTGGCAAAGAAATGCGAACCAAGTTAGACTTCTGCTAAATTTCCATCTTGTTGAATAGCAATCTTTAAAAGAGTCTATATTTTTAGGCTTTGAAAAAAAACATTAAAGAGTTCTCACTTCTGTTTGCACTGTCCCAAAATACTTAAGAAATGTTTGAAATATGGGCTGGATTATATATTTGAAATATAATGGGGCCATTTTTATAAAATGGTAATCTTTTTACCTGAACTTGATGAAGACTATTAGTGTCTAGAATAATCAGTCTGCCCAAGAGTGTGCTATGTCTGCGTTAAAGACACACATTAATTTGTAAGGTTTCTTCAATGTTCTTCAAAAGTTAGAAAAAATTAGAATGCATCAGTTCCAGAAATTAGAGCTTTCTGTAGACCATAGAAACGGATGCAGATGCCTATTTAAGTATTTTAGCATTTCTACCCATTTTTAATATTGTCATGAATAAATGTTTTTAAGAATCCAGAATACTAATTTTCAGAGAATTTCAATAATATAAAAATATTGGATGTATATAATATAAGCATTTTTTTAAAAACTGGCATGGCTCTCATCTTGCTTGTAAGCAGTCTAGATTAGACCAGTACATACAAGCCTAGTCTCTGATCATCACACTTCTATAGAGAACTTTAAAAATGTATATATGTAGCTTCCTGACCCCATCCCAAGACAGATTCAAGGCCCACCCATCTAAAATCTATAATCATAACTAGTGTACCTTGTAGCTGTTTAGGCACTAAGGATTCCTGATGTTGTAGGTGCTGATCTCTAACTTTTACAAAGGTATTATCAGTGGCTTTTTGAAATATACAAGGATGACCACTTGTGATAAGCTCTCTCTGTAGGTGAACTATTGAAATAGCCCAAACAAAAGTACCTCTGTTATTTTTCATTTTTCAAAATACTGGACCTAAGTACAACTAGCTCTTTTTTAGATGAAAGGAGACTTTAAATTGGATGACTTGATCCATATCATTAGTTTAACAGTCACTCTTCAGAAGCCTATCTGTAAGTGCTTTTATTCTGTATGTATTGGAAACTGATCATACCTTGTTCCCAGAGTACTTAATTTGATAATCTTAACCAAAGAAAAACTCTTAGTGTTCTCTCTTGAGTTTTTTAAACGTGGTTTTGCCTTAGTGTGTCGCTTTCATATGTACATCTCATTTTTAGGAATATTAATATTGGAGAATTGAACTGATACGGCTTGCTGTCAACATTGCAACATTCATTTATTAAAGCTAGCAATTATTTCTGTCTTGCATTTCAGATTTCTGTGCGTATTACTACAAGGTGATTGCAGAATAAGAAAACAATGATAGCTGTATTTGTTACTCCTTAAAGAATAACTATAATATGTATCTCTTTCTAATGCTTATCTTTGGAGCAGTAAAATTTTAAGATATTAACATATATACCTTAAATTTTTATTTTGATAAAATCTGTCAAGAAAAGCTTTAGTTTGAGGTTTTGGTTTTTTGGCTTTTTTCTTTCTTTCTTTCTTTCTTTTTTTCTTTCTTTTTTTTTTTTTTTTTTTTTTTTTTTTTTTTTTTTTTTTTTTTTTTGCAAGTAACTGGTTGTTTAAAATCACCTAATTGTATATATTGATGAGTTTATATTATTTTTCTGGGAAGGTATACATTTAGGTCAGAACTTCCTTAACCTGGAATCCATAGTCCATAAGAGTTCATAGTGAATTTCCTGGAGGAGGTTCATAACTGGAACTATGAACATAGAAAATGAACTCAGTAAAGCTATGTGAAATTGTGTGTGGAATTGCATGAGTGTGTGTGTGTGTCTGTATGTTTATGCATGTGCATATGTGTTTAAAGTAGCATTTATAACTATCATCAAGGGATCAGAAGTCCCAAAGTAGTAAGTGTGGTTTAGGGTTTCATGCAGGCATTTTATGAAAAATTATTTTAATCAAGATAACTTGAAACATAATTGAAAGAGCTCTTTAGACAATAATAGCATTTTTTTCTATAACTAAATTCAATTTGGTACCTCCTAATTAGACAGAATAGATAACAAGTAGTGAAGTTTTATTTCAGCATTTGTTATAAGGTATATTTTTATCCTCTTTTGATGGAATTTAAGGAATAACCAAATATTATAGTTTTTTTTTTTTGAAGTTTTGTTTTATCTTGTCCTGGTGATTTTTTTTGTTTGTTTTTTGAGATAGAGTCTCACTCTGTTGCCCAGGCTGGAGTGCAGTGGTGCCATCTTGAATCTTGGCTCACCACAACCTCTGCCTCCCAGGTTCAAGGGATTCTCCTAACTCAGCCGCCCTAGTAGCTGGGACTACAGGTGCACACCACCATGCCCAGCTAATTTTTGTATTTTTAGTAGAGACGGGGTTTCACCTTATTGGCCAGGATGGTCTCGATCTCTTGACCTCATATCTGCTGGCCTCAGCCTCCCAAAGTTCTGAGATTACAGGTGTGAGCCATCAGGCCTGGCCATCCTGGTGGTATTTTATAAATCACAACCCATTACCCGAAGAAGAACGTGACTATGTCAAAACTTGTTGAGCACCAAAGTACCTTCTCTGTGTATCTGTATTTCGTTTTATTCTACCTCTGTGCAATACTGAAATTACTGAACATGCATTAAGGAGAGTCTAATTGATGATAGTCCAGATCTTCTGTACTAGTTTTTTTCTAAGTTCAAAATTTAATTTTACTAGAAAGGATATAGAGATGCTCACAAATTTTAAAAGATAGTTACAAAAACATAAACTACTGAGTACCATTACTCTGATTAGTCATGTAGCAATATAAATCTATATATTTAGTTTAAATAATTCTTTAATATTTAAACTTATTTTTAAAAACATGACACAAGCAAGTAGGTATTTGGATGGACAGAGTCAAGAATGTGGTTGATTTAATTAATTTGAATGCCTATATCTCATTTGCTTTATTTAGGAGTTGAACATATTACAGTGGAAACCTCTCATTTTCATACTTATGTCTTATTCACTCATAACATTGATAGATACAGAAATAGATGAAAGCGTTATAAGATCACTATAGTTAGGAATGAGGGCTCTGGAGCCCAATAGGTTGGGGCTGATTTTTCACTCTCCCTTTTGGTAGTCATGTGACCTTGAGCATATACTGTGCTTCAGTCTCTGTGACTCAGTTTATCCAGCTATGAAATGGAAATTATAGATAGGCTTGCCATGAGGATTAAGTTAATACATGTAAAGCACTTTAAGCCGTGCCTATCATAAAGTATTTAATAAATATTTGCTATCATTCTTATCAATTACTAATAGATTGAATATTAAATGTAATGTTTCTAACTACTCTGTATGAACTTAATTTCAGTTTATAAGGCCAAGAAGTAAGCATGATAATATGTTTCTTGAGGCCAGAAGTCAAAGATGAAATGTCATTTGAATAATGAAAGAAACACATGTATCTGGTTATTTCATATCTCTTTTTTTTTTTAAATGTGTTAAGATTCCTCGTAGCACATCATATAAAGTAGAATTTAAATATTAAGGTTGAAATAATATTTCTTTCAGTGCTTTCATTGCAATAGTCTGTCTTTAAAATGAATTAAGAATTCAGTTTTAAAAAGATATTTTTAATGAAAATAGATACGTTAGGCAGACTTTTTCTATTGGTTGCAAAGAAAACAAAAGGGGTAATATTAAGCAAAGCTTGTTCAAAAATAAAAAAGGAAGATGATTAACTTTATTCTGAAAGTTCAGAAACCTTTTTTTATGATTAGGCTTTAGAGGTCATATATCACAGTTCTGCAAACTTGTTTGCAAAGTACTGGTATGTCCTTAGAATTCACAAAACTTGATTAAAGGCATATTTCTGGTTGGACCACTTATGCCTATGTTAGCTAGTTCTCTTGATTTCACCTGCCAGCAAAATGAAGTGAAACATGGAATCATTACTTCATGTATAACAAATGCAATCCCAGGGAAGGAACTCTGAAAAAGATAGGATTTCCTTGACTGAAGACTGTGCCAGCACTCCTTAACAAGCTATTCACCATGCAAATGAACAATGGAGTCCCACACTGAAACAGCTGTTAACTACATAAAACTGTTAAGGAGATTTAACAGTGCCAGAGGCTGAAATGTAATCAGGCAGGTGAAATAGTGGTAAGATAAATATTCCTGTGTGAAATAGAAATAGTGTTTAATTAATTTATTTTTATATTGCTGCAGCACCTGAGTTTAGAATTATTGTGAAATATACTAAGCTTTAAAACATATTTTCTTTCTCTGTGGAAGGTATAGAAAGTTAGAGACTCGGCCGGGAGTGTTGGCTCTCTCCTGTAATCTCAGCATTTTGGGAGGCCAAGAAGGGCAGATCACAAGGTCAGGAGTTTGAGACCAGGCTCACCAACATGGTGAAAACCCCATTTCTCCTAAAAATACAAAAGTTAGCTGGGCGTGGTGTCATGTGCCTATAATCCCAGCTACTCAGGAGGCTGAGGCAAGAGAATCTCTTGAACTCAGGAGGTGGAGGTTGCAGTGAGCTGAGATGGCACCATTTGCACTCCTGCCTGGTTGACAGAGCAAGAATCTGTCTCAAAAAAGAAAAGAAAGAAAGAAAAAGAAAAGAACAGAAAAGAAAGTTAGTGACGAACAAAATGGGCTACTTTATCTGGATATTTTTTGATTTTTTGATATTTCAGTAGACTTGATTATATTGTAATTTTCAATTATGGCAATTAAAGGTCAGCTGCCCAATTACTGTTTCTAAAGTTTGTCATCATACAGTGTGAAAGTAGAGTACAGATAGAGAAATGTTCAAAGTGCAGCTAACATTGAGATGTTTCTACTTTTGTTCTTGGAAAGAAATGAGAAGAAAGATGTTGTATGGAAAATGAATACAGATATTTCATAATATTCTGGTTTGCACATGAAACTAAGCTAAAGTGTGTTATGGGCCATTCATAAAAACATTCCTATTAATTGACTGAATGAATCGTGATTGCTCTTTTTAGGGGTATGTGTGTATGTGTGTGTTTATGTCTTTGTGGATATATGTGGGTTTTAATAATTCCAGAAGTATACCTTCACTTCACCTGCAGGAGCTTATAATTGTTACATTTTATACATTGATTTCTAAATCCAGTGTGGTATAAGCTACGCTGTCTGTAAAATATTCTCTCAAGGCATAGTGCTAGTCAGAGGCATAATCTGTAATGTTTTTAAGAAATAAAAGCCATTTGAGATTTAGAATTATAATTTGGAAGATTCTGTTGTGCACATATTTTTTTTTTTTTTTACTTTCCCCACATGCTTTTGTCCCATGCAACAAACTAATGTTTGTAACATAGCCTGTTGTCCGTGGTCACTAATACCTGTTAACAAAAAAAATCATATTAACAGATTATGTTTGTATTGACATCTATATTTTAATATATTTTTTTAAATTACACTGATGGTTTTTAAACCAAGTATGTTAGCATATTTTTAAGCTAGTCAAAAATATTAGCATTAACCTTAAAAACGTTGAGTATCAATCAGTGTGATTTGTTATTTTTTGGAAGTCAACTGATTGTATTAATGTGTCTTAAATTGGTAGAGAAGAAATTTGCAAACAGGTATAATCTAATATTCTGAATATTAAATAGACACACACTCAAATATATTTTAATGCAAACTTTTAATGTTGTAGAATTAAATATTTTTAGGGTGAGACTCAAAGACCTTAAGATACAGCTTTATGTTTAAGATATCTGTTTTCTGAGAAGTAAAGGATTATGAAAGTGAGACACTAAACAAGGAAAATCTTTAAGCAGGAAAATTAATTTTTCTTTATCATTTCATGATCACTCCTAATAATTTCTAAAAAATTAACTTAGTATCTTTTATACAAAATATTCCTCAAATATACAAATTACCAGAGTTGTGCTAGAAATTGTGAGAAAATGACATAATAATATAAAATGATATTTATATTTTAGAATCATACAATAAATTATATTCATTCACATACCCGCATGATTATGAGGAAGAAAAACCACAACAAACTTTATTTTATTGGGTAAATGAGGATTAAAATACAAAATAGCAAAGAGTATTGACAGAAACTGTGTTTCATGTAACAAATAAAATTGAAAATTTCTTCAGCTTAGGCAAAAATAAACTTGGAATATTCTTGTCTGATGCCAGATAACCTGTGTGATGGATGCTTTCTTAAAAGTATGAGAGGCAGGTGGAAAACTAAAACTTTAATTAGAGTATTATCAAGAAGAGGCAGCTACTGAAAATGAAAATAAATTTTGTGTAATGTTATTTGTTTAAATATTACAAAGTCATGAAGAAGTTTAACACAAACGATCACTACTTTTACTATCTATAGAAAAATCTGAGACTGTCAAACAAAAGCAAAAAAATAAATCTCATAATAAAGTCTTTGTATAAGACTTTATTTTCATTTATACTCAGTTTGAAAGAGAGAATCTCCATAGTTTGGTTTCTCCTTTGAATAGATCTTTGACTTACTCTAGAACTAGCATGCAAAGTTAATTTATTCTTTTTTGAAATTTCTTGGTTTCTTTGGCTCTTGCAGAGTGAAATTTCACTTTTTAATCTTTCAGCTGAATAAGCCATATAACCAATTTTTTTTTTAAGTTACTGAATTTTAAGCAATCATTTGTCCTTTTCCTTTATCTTTCAGGAAGTTGATGGCAATAAAGTTATGTCTTCATTTGCCCCACACAACTCATCTACCTCACCTCAGAAGGCAGAAGAAGGTGGGCGACAGAGTGGCGAGTCCTTGTCTAGTACAGCCCTGGGAACTCCTGAACGGCGCAAAGGCAGTTTAGCTGATGTTGTTGACACCTTGAAGCAGAGGAAAATGGAAGAGCTCATCAAAAACGAGCCGGAAGGTAAAAGCTGGAAAAGAAAACAAAGTTGGTGCTGTGTCCTGATTTTCATACTTTGATTTTAACTTCTTGATTGGTTTTTCATTTACATTTTTAAAGTTAGGTTGGGCAAAATGGAAACCTACTGCTATGAAGATAGATAGTATAATTTTTCAGAAACACTTAAGCCTGTCTAACCCAATTTTTTAAATCATTTATTTATGTTGTGATGTTATTTTCACATATGAGTGAAGTAGTTGAGTGAAAAAGGTTCAGGAATCCAGTGTGGCAACGGAGCCGGGAATAGTCACCTACTTGCCAAATATCTGCAGTCTAGTTTGTTTCTCTTTATTTTTTTTCCCTTGAGAATCAATGTAGAATTGCCCTACATTTAACCTTTGCACGTTAATACATCTTATCCTACCTTGATATTTAGGTCCGTTTCTTGTATAGTCCCAAATTATTATCGGTAGGATTATTGCATATTTACAAATTAGTGGTTCTTTAACTTTTAGGTATGTTTTAACTTCCTATTTTTTCAACTTCCAGAAAGTCTTTCTTTTAAGATTTCATTCTGTAAATCTCTTTAATAGTTACTGATAGGAGCCTTCAGGTGATATGCACATGGACTAATCTTAAAGCAAATAAACCAACAAAATAACTGAGGCAAATTGTACAAACTTAGGCATAATTGACAATCATCCTTTAGGTTACACATGCTTACTAACTGCTATTTAACCCTCTGTCCACCCTAAGCATGGGTGCCATATTGCACACAAGAACATACCTCCTGTTTCAATCAGATTGAAATTTCAAACAAGCAAACAATGTTGTGCACACATATTGTATAGCAAAAATACACTGCATGTGTACTGTGTGTACTGTGTAACGATAAGTTGGGCTCATTTCTAGTCTGCTCGGACACTGGTAAATTATGAGGATATCTGATGCAAAATGTATGTTAACCTATATATTTGACAGTCATGTGACAAATATTTCTAGTCCCTACCAAATGCATAGCTGGGACCTGGATTTTGGTTAAAATTTATGCAATTCTCGTGATCTGAGAATTGGAAAGAATTTTAGAGATATTCTTGTCACCGAAAGACTTTAGATATTTTGTTACATGTTCCCTCATTCTCATGGAGATAAAAATAGAGAGTTGAGGGGAATCCAGACAACCTTATTTTTTAAAAAATGGATTTTTTCTAATATTAAAAATAATGCAGTTTTATAATAATTATTTTTAAAACATAAAACATTATAAGGAAGGAAGTAAAAATCATCTGAAGTCATAGCTATTCCTGTGTGAAAAAGCAATAATGCTAAATTAATTTATTTTTATACTGCTTCAGAAACTGAGTTTAGAATACTTGTGAAATATGCTAAACTTTAAAAAATAGTTTCTTTTTCTTTGAAAGAGTTAGAAAGTTAGAGATGGGAAAATGGGATACCTTATCTGAATTTTTTTGATATTTTTGATCTTATAGACTTGATTGCATTGTAATTTTTTGCATGAAGTCCAAGCTGCAGGTGATTTTTATTTTCTTCGTTATAATGTTAATATGAGGTTAACAGGATTCTTAACCTTAGGATGTGTTTTTTAATCTTTATTTTTATATATTCTGCTAATTTTTTATGATTAGCTTTATGCAAACGGTTCCCAACTTACAATGGATCCACTAGGATTTTCAGCTTTAAGACGGTGCAAAAGCAATACACTTTCAGTAAAACCATACTTCAAATTCTGAATTTTAATATTTTCCTGTATGCAGTAGGATACTCTCATTGCTGGGTGGTGGCAGGGAGCCATAGCTCCCAATCAGCCACGTGATCAAGAGGGTAAACAATTATACTCTACAGTATATTGTGTTGCCAGATGATTTTGCCCCATGATGGGCTAACAACCTGTGTTCTGAGCACATTTAAGGGAGGCAAGGCTAAGTTATGATGTTCAGTAGGTTAGCTGAATTAAATGTATTTTTGACCTAATGATATTTTCAACTTACAGTAGGTTTAAGGATATAACACTATCATAACTCTAGGAGCATCTATACTTTTAAAATATTGTGCTTCTTTTTTCACTTAGAATTATAGTATGAGTGTGTCTTCTGCCAAGCAATATACTTTGAAAAGAAATGACTGCCAAGGCTGACACAGTGGCTCAAGCCTGTTTTCCCAGCACTTTGGGAGGCCAAAATGGGTGAATCACCTGAAGTCAGGAGTTCAATACCAGCCTGGCCAACATGGTGAAAACCCATCTCTACTAAAAACACAAAAATTACCTAGGTGTGGCAGTACGTGCCTGTGGTCTAATCTACTCTGGAAGTCAAGGCAGGACAATCGCTCGAACCTGAGAGGAGGTTGCAGTGAGCCAGGACTGGGCCACTATACTCCAGCCTGGGCAACAGAGCAAGACTCTGTCTCAAAAAATCCCTAAATAAATTTTAAAAAATGATTGCCAAATATTCTAAAGTTTGGCCATGATTTACTATTGTAATTCATACATTCACTTTATTAAAAAAAAAAAAACAAAAAACCAGTTTTAGATTTATGGAAAAATTAAGCAGATAGAACAAGAGTTCCCATGTATTCCATCCATATACACAGTCTCCTCTCTTATTAACACCTTACATTAGTATGGTATATTTGTTAAAATAATGAACCAACATTGATACATTATTATTAACTAAAGTCCAGAGTTTATTTAAACTTCATTAGCTTTTACCAAGTATGCTTTTTCTGTTTTAAGATACCATCAAGGGTAACACATTATACTTACTTGTCATGTCTTCTTAGGCTCCTTTTGACTGTGACAGCTTCTCAGAATGTCTTGTTTTTCATGACCTTCAGAGTTTTGAGGAGTACTCTTCAGATATATTACAGGATGTCTCTCTATTGGAAATTGCCTGATATTTGTCTCAGTCAAATGAGTTTTGGAGTTTTATGAGGAAGATCACAGAAGTAAAATATCATCTTTGTCACCTCATAACAGTTACATACTTTCTTTGTAATTAAGAATGTTGGCATTGACCTTGATCATTGGCTGAAGTAGTGTTTTGCAAGTTTCTCCACAGTAAATGTGTTCTCTGTCCCTTTTCGACACCATAACCTTTGGAGGGGAGGAGCTCTGTGCAAGCCACACTTAAGGAATAGGCAGTTATGTTACTAGAGCTGGAGTATCTACAGAATTTATTTGGAATTTTCACATGGGAGATTTATCTTTTCTCTACCATTTATTATTTAATCATTTTTTTACATCAGTATGGACTCACAAATATTTATTTTTTATTTTGGGCATCATTTTACATACCACTATTATTGTGGTTGTGATAATGATGATGATTATTATTAGTTTAGCACTTCTTTTCTTTCTGGTACTGTAAGATACTGAGGGCTCATTTTGTACGTTTCTTGCTCCAGTGCTAGAATCATCCATACCTCCAGGAAGCTCTGGCTCCTTTTATTGGAGAATGATATTAGAACGCAAGATCTAAATGCTAGATATACTCCTTACTTCAGAGGTATCATTTCTTTTAGGGTTCTAAGTTGACAGAGCAATGAAAATATATGTATGTATACTAACCTGCATATGTATATATTTATAAATATTTCTATGTTTATATTTCAACCCAACTGGGGAAATACCTAGGAATGTGAGTGCTGGAATTTATGAGAGGATTATATTTTAGCCTTGCAAGAAACTGCCATACTATCTTCCAAAGTGGCTATAAGATTTTGTATTCCCACCGGGAATGAATGTGAGTTTCTTTTGTTCCACATTCTCATCAGAATTTGATATTGTCGGTTTATTTTATTTTATTCATTCAAATAGATGTGAAGTAGTATCTCATTCAATTAATTTATAGTCCTCTAATTTTGAGCAATGTTCAGCATATTTTTGTATGTTTCTATCCCTTTGATGAGGTGTCTGTTTAGATCTTTTGTTGATTTATTAACTGAATCATTTTCTTATCAATGAGTTTCTAGAATCCTTAGTATATTTTGAATACAAGCCCTGTCAGAAATATGTTTTGCAAATATTTTCTGCCAGCCTGCGGTTTGTGTTTGCATTGTCTTAACATGGTCTTTTGAGGAATAAACATTTTAACTTTAATGAAATTGAATTAACTTTTTGCATCGATTATGCTTTTGATGTCTGTAAGCAATCATCACATAATCCAGGGTCACTTAGATTTTCTCCTATCTTCTTGAAGTTGTATAGTTTTTCGTTTTACAGTTTAGGTCTATGATCCCTTTTGATTTAAATTTTGTAAAATGTAGTTCTGTGTCTGCATTCATTCATTTTTTGTTTGCATATGGAAGTCCAATTGTTCTAAGACCATTTGTTAAAAAAGCCATTATTTCTCCATTAACTTACCTTTTTCCTTGCCAAAGATCAACTGAATGTATTTGTGTGGATCTATTTCTGCTTTCTGTATTTTGTTCCATTGATCAGTTGGTCTGTTTTCTTGCCAGTAACATGCTGTCTTGATTACTGTATCTTGATAATAAGTCTCGAAGTTGGATAGTGTTAGCCCTCCAACTTTCTTCTTTTTCTTCAATATTGTGTTGGTGTCCTGGGTCTGTTGCCTTTTCTTGTAAACAGAATCAATTTGTTGACATCCGCAAAATAACTTACTTGGATTGTATTAGGATTGTGTTATACCTGTAGATAATGTTGGGAAGAATTTACTCCTTTAAAATACCAAGTTTTCATATTCATTAACACAAATATCTCTCTATGAAGATCTTTATTGATTCCTGTTGAGTTTCATAGTTTTCCACGTACAGATCTTAAACATATTTTGTTACATTTATACTGCTATTTTTTTGGTGTACAAACTTAAATGTAAATATAAATTGTATCTTTTTAATTTTTTAATCTTTTCAATATTTTTATTTTTATTTTTATTTTTTATCATACTTTAAGTTCTGGGGTACGTGTGCATAATGTGCAGGTTTGTTACAAAGGTATACATATGCCATGATAGTTTGCTGCACCCATCAACCCGTCATCTACG